CAACAACATAAAATCTTAAAGTATATAAAAGGAAAGAAAATGAAAGGGGACTAAATGTTGCGAAATTGTATAAACTAATTAAGTCGCAAATTTTGTAAAATTAAGTTAATTAAATACCAGGATAAAATAATACAGGAAAAATCTGACTTTTTTTGTTAGAGATGCTTTGGTATATATTTTTTAGAAGTACAGTGTAAGTAAGCGAAAGTACCTCGTCGTATATTTTTAATCTATTGTTATTATAATGAAATGTTAAGTATTATAATCAAAGTTATTTCATTTTGTCTCTAAATCGTCAACAACAACAATAACGCATTATTTGTGTTTAATAGTTTTTGAATAGATATTAAAAATGATTATAAATATTATTTAAAATTATATGTTATCAAAAATGCAGGGCTACTGGATGCCATTTTTAATTTTTTAAATGACTGTAGTTATAAATGAATGTTATTATGTTTCATACCGCTGTATGGTTTATAAATATAAAAAATTTAAAAGATAACTACCCATTTTTTTTTTCGAGCCCATTTCTCTTTTCTCTAAACATTTCTTTAAGAATTTAATTCCTACATAATTTCGTGAGTCATCATCATCATCATTAGCCTTTAACTGTCCACCGCTGAACATAAGCCTCCCCCTTGGGGAATTTTGCCTTTAGTTGTTACGCTTGGCAGGCGGATTGGCAACCGCCGTTAGGCTTTGGAGATATTTTAAGAGTGACGCTGCAGTCGCCTCTTACGATAACCACGTAAAAGGAAAGTGTGGTCTTTTCTATTTCGGGACCATACTATATATAAATTGGTACAATAGTTCATTAAAAATATGATGCCCACAGCTACTTTCTACCATCGTACGGCTCGCCATCAACAGGGAGTTCATCCTCATGTCCTACAGCCTTAATGGTCGCGTACTGCGCGGTTTCAGAGATGTCTCCTCCCACGAACACTCAGGTTGTGGAATGAGCTCCCTGCCGAGGTTTTCCCAAGAGACTACAGCATGGGGTTCTTCAAAAGGGGGGTAAAGAGGTTTCTTCAGGGTCGGCAACGCACGCGTAATGCCTATGGTATTGCAGGTGTTCATAGGCTACGGTAACCACTTACCATCAGGTGGGCCGCATGCTTGTTTGCCACGTCAGTGGTATAAAAAAATCACGTAATAAATAGTGTGAACCCTGTTGAGTAATCTCATGAGTGCTGTAAACACATTACCCACACAACATTGAACTAGTAATATCAATCTAAATGCCAATCGCGACCACATAGGAGATTAACTGTAATCAGTTCTAGAGTAGATAATCATGTACGATATAAATTAATCGAGTAAATAATCAACATCACATTAGGACTGGTATTCTACCTAGACTGAATTAGAGAATTCCTATCGTAGTGCCTATTACTGAATGAGAACTAAATAAAATGACATAGACAAGAATCAGTATTTAAAAATATATTTAAAATATTGGCCTTGTTGAAAACTGTGATAATTGCGATGCAAATGCGGCTAAACTATTATATATTTATAAAGACGACGAGATAAATAATATACATATTATGTTTTCAACATCCATTTTACTAAATTTGAATAGAATCGACAGAATGCATTATATTTTTAATAATAAAAAAGTATAAGTGGCCAGTACGTGCAATAATAAAAAGAGTTCATTCTTACATATTAAATTGAATCTGCAACAGGCCTTGTGGTCCTGGCATACAATGGGTCACCTGTTCCTTTCCCGTGTGTGTCGTAAGAACCGACTAAGAGAGGGAGAGGGATCGGCAGCAGCGTCCCTCTTAAACATCATGCCAAGCGTGGCAACTACTGACAAAACTCCGCAAGAGGGAGGCTTATGTTCAGCAGTGGACAGTTAAAGGTTAAATGATTATGATTATATTCTTAAAAACCAGAGGAAGACTTTGTACAAAAGTCGATTGCTTGGGTATCTCTGTCCCATTCGTGTTTCTACCGTGAGGCAGTTGTGTTTGCATGGCTGTGTTTCGGTTTGAAGGGTGGGATATGGCGTGAATTTACAGGGTACAGAGGAATAACATCTGAGTCCTCAGAAATGGCAACGCATGGGGGGTATCATGGGCGAAACAGTATACTCTGTTATGTCCACGGTACTGCTCGTGTCTATAGGCGACGGTTACCACTTTCCATCAGGTGGGCCGTCAGCTTGTTTGTCATTCTAAGTTGTATAAAAAAAAACCTAAATATCGAAGAAGATTTTACTGAAACTCATACAACAATTAGGTACGTAATTACTACCAAAAATTACGTAAGGAAAATAATTGTCAGTAGGTACGAGTATTATACAAGTATTTTTATAGTAAAAGATAAAGACAGAATCCGTCGTAATTAACACCATCTTTAATCCCGCTTTTAAGTGACACTGACATGTAATAATTACGAAAACATTGGTTAATCTTTGTATATTCTTCCCTCATTGCCTACTTCTTTATTTAGCGGGGAGCGTACTCTTAAATTGGACCGAGTAATTGCTTTGCCGGATCACAGGAATACTTTCTGCCAACGAAATTAGGGCAATATTGCGAAAAAAGTAAATTGATGTTTTATATCTTGTGTGAGAGGCATATTGAGTGCATAATATTTGTTATTTGAAAATCAGAGGATGTGACAAAGGCAAATCGGTAAAGCTCACACAAAATATGTATATCAGTTATATTATAAATAAATAAACATAAACGCAACTATAACTATATATATATATATATATATCTCGCGGGTTCCTCTGAAAATTATTGTGCTTAATTCCTAACAAATTAATCACGATGGGCTAACTGAGCTGTCTTTTCATCCTCACCTATCGTCCTTCACTACTGTCCTGCCAACGTATGCCGATAGCGCAGGCAACTACCCCATTTTCATCCTTAAGAAAAAGCAGACCTATAACTAGCAACATACCCTAACAGGTTGTTATAAAATCGTGTTGAATATATTATAATGTGCCAACTGTCCTGCATTCATCCTCGTCTATCATGTCTCATTGGTACCCCGCCGCGATATTCCGGTAGCGCACAGAATTCCATTTTCAATATTAAAAAAATCTAAAATCGAACTAATTTTAAATAGTTCGTGACTAAACTAGAATTGTTAATCACGATAAAAAATATTATAATTACGTGTTATTTAGGGATTATTATTGACTAATATATACACGTGTCAAATTTTAAATTTGGTTATTTAAAAGTTGATTAAAAAAAGAGACTTCCAGCATTAAGGCCTTGGAAACTATCGTAGTTAGTTCTTGAATTAGTCACAATGGACTAACTGACCTGCCCTTTCTTTCTCGCTCATCATCCCTCTTTAGTGCCCCGCCAGCGTATACCGATAGTACAGTCTCCCAGAGGGAGACTTTGTACAAAAGTCGATTGCTTGGGTACCTCTGTCCCATTCGTGTTTGAACTGTAAAGCAGTTGTGTTTGCATGGCTGTGTTTCGGTTTGAAGAGTGGGATATGGCGTGAATTTACTGGGTACGGAGAAGTAACACCTGAGTCCTCAGGAATGACAACGCATGGGGGGTATTATGAGCGAAACAGTATACTCTGTTATGTCCATGGTACTGCTCATGTCTATAGGCGACGGTTACCACTTTCCATCAGGTGGGCCGTCAGCTTGTTTGCCATTCTAAGTTGTATAAAAAAAAGTCGGGGTTACCATTCCGTCGTGACCAGTTAAAATAAAAATATCTATACTATAAGTGAATGTACAAAAGCATATAAATAAAAAAAAAAGGAATAAATAAATAAAAGTATATCATATCATTAAAATTTAATTAAAATCTGTCCAATAACTGGGAGTTACAAACAAGCAAATATCGTAAATAAACCATTTATATAACATAAGGATATTATTTTATTCTCGTTACAAAATATCTGGAATCTTCTTACCATGTCTCCATTTAATTAACTATGCTATTTTTGTCTTTAATATAGATAATTTATTATATTGAATGTAATATCGTACTTATTCTAGAATTTAGGAGGCGAAACTATAATATTAATTTGTTATCCATCAGATACTAGCTTACCAAATATAATACCTAATATTAGGTATATTATGTTAACCGAAGCAAAATTTCAATTTATTGTTGCTTCGGTTCTTTGTAGGCTTAATTTTTATATTAAATATTAAACATTATTTTATTCCAGATTAGAATCCAAAAGAAAGTATTAATTTCTTTTTTTTTTCTGCAGACTGCCATTGAAATTGTTTTAACAATGAAACGATTCAGTTTTGTCTAAAAAAACGTGGATTAAAAAACGACAAAAAATTCGAAAGTCCATACTAAAACTGCGCATCTAGCTATTAAAATAGTCTAGGAAGTACAAAAAATTTTGTCGCTTTTGGATTTTTTATTCATGCAATGTCATATCTGTCTGTCTCCTATTAGGGTAGGCAGAAACAATGGAACGCCAACTGCTCCGATACAAACGAACCTCTTTCGATTCTTTCAAAGTTATCAATCTTTTCATACACACTCGCCGGTTACGCTTAATTTGGCCCTTCTTCAGCACGTCTCCTATTTCCGTTTAGGGCAGCCCCTGCTGTCATCTCCATTCGTTTTTGCTCGATAAAACTCTTTCGTAATTTTTCTTTCATCCATCCTCTCCAAATGGCCAAACCGAGGCAACATTTCTTTTTAAGACGAGCAAAACCCCCTTATGGGATTATTTCTTGTCGTAATCTTTAGTTCCTATAGCCTCTTCATCAGCGTTATGATCATCATATCAGCATTTACTGTTCACTGCTGAACATAAGCTAAGGGGTGTTTTACCAATAGCTGCCACACTTGGCAGTCGGATTGGCAACCGCAGCTAGACTTTGGAGATGTTTTACAAGGGTCGCTGCTGCCACTCCCTCACCCTCCCTTAGTCGCTTCTTACGATACCCACGGGAAAGGAAGGGGTGACCTATTCTATACCGGGACTACACGGGACACTGGTAAAAACAATAATAATGAATTGAAACTCAAATATTGTTATTTAAGACGTTTTATTATTGAAATCAGAATAATTTACATTGTAAAAAATACACATACTCCAATTAGTTACGCTAAGGTTAACATTTTCAGCTTTCATCGGCTCTATTTTACATTTTCTATAGCTTTAATTTCATTTACTATCCTAATTTTGACATTTTACACCTAAATTATTGAAGATTCTCTATAATCAATTCATACATGTATATAATTGTTCAGTTAATTGATAATCCATTATTAATAATGTACGGATGTATAATTAAATGTTACATCGTAATTGTGCAATGTATTGTGAATCTTGTGACCTTAATTGGTATCGCTGATTGATTATCATCGTTTCTAAAGTAATTAAAGATCTAAAAGGCAATGTCAATTGCGAATTAATATATGACAAAATCGATCGATTAAAAAGTTTTTTTTTTTTAGAATAAGAAGAAAAATAATTTTAAATTACATTACTGTTTAAGTAAAGATGTGTCGCCATCTGTTGTCGGAGTTTTTAATGATTTTCTTTATTTGTATATTATTGTAAATAAAAATATATATGAAAGATTTATGTGGCTTACAGAATGACGGTTTTACATGTCTTTTGAAGCACAAAGCAAATGAGAATGATTTTTAAATGATTAAATCATGGATTTAAAAATTCAAAGTCTTAAGCTGGAGTTCTATCTCAGGATCCCTGAATCGCAATCAAACGTTGTTTGATTAAGCTATTACCTGCAATAGTGTGTAATTAACTAGTACTGAAACCTTTTTTTATTTAAGTCATTTTTTTAATATATATTTGATTTTTTCGTAAAATAAAAGGATAAGCCAGTATTATTTCCTAAATACGCCAAGTATAAAAAATATATGTATGTATGATTGTATATTCGAATCGTTGGCACGACCTATAGTGTGCAGTAAAGAGCTTGATGAATTAGTATCATCTTTTATGCGATAAAAACTTATAAAATAAATATGGGATTATAAACTGTCAAAAACTTATTTCACAGTTGGACGTTTTCGTCGCGTGACTTTGTTTTGTTTCAGTATATTTCTTATAGTAATAAACTAATTTATTTACATGTATGAAATGATTACACCTAAATTACATATAAAGAAAGTCCCTCATAAATCAAGCTTCATTTTTCTTTGGCATAAGCGGTATTAATAAATCTTCAGTATTTAATATCGCATGTTTTGTTGTTGTTGTTATTATTATTATTTTCTTTTTACAATAAATAAACAAGTTACTTTTAAAAATAAATTACGGAAACAACTGTAAGTTGAGCGTTTTAAAATTTTAATTTTTAAAAATCGATTGACCGAAATGTATGTTACATTGGAAAGTCGAAAGTTAAACATAAAAGTCTAGAAATAATGTAAAACATATAATGCGACTTATAGTGTCTCAGTACATATTTATTTTTTAAATCTAATTAAAGTCTTCCAAGCTAAAATATTTACTTTGAAAGTTTCACAAAGTGAAATTAGAATCGTATCTGAATTAATCATCAAATTTAAGATTAATTTATTCCGTAGTAATCTGATAACTGTAGGTACATTGTCCTATCAAGGTCATGTAAACACGGAAATTAAACGGGAAATTTTCATAGGAAAATTTTAATTAATTTATATTAAAAAAAATGGTAAAGCTATGAAATTGTTTTTAAAATACAAAATTAAATTTAAATCTATTGAAATATCTTTCATAGAACGAATTTCATGTAGTTCTGAGTATGGATACTTTAGGTTAAGAACTATTACATATTTTAATGTAGATTGGTTATTATAGCAATTAATTAATTATATTAAAAACATAAATATAGAATAATAAACATTTGTTGTATTAAAATGGTGGTGATAATCTGTTTTTATCTTCTGTTTTTTATATATATAGATTTAGTTTTTTTTTTTTATAAAAGATCGGATCTTCGGAATAACTTTATTGCGTGAACGAATTGACTACACTCGTAAATCACTGTTACAAGTCTTAGGTAAGCGATATGTGTATTATTACAATTTTTTTTAAAATATGTTTTCTATGAGAGAATTATCATAAGAAATATTTATTGTAGTTATCAACCTGTTTCTTTATTGAAAAAAAACATTTTTAACAGTTATTCTTATCCAATTACCAAAAAGGGAGGGTAATGTTTTACTTAATACAAGTTGAGATAAATTAATACATTATCGTTAATAGCGTCTTAATTGTGGAAATGCTATGGACTATGTTTGTATGTCATAAACTGTCATAAACTAAATTATTTTTTCTGTGACTTTGTCACACCCACTAATAAATATATAATGTACCTATAATAATAGAAAAAAGATCTTTCCTATATCAGTCATCCAACAAACACATCTAGACAGAGCAGTGCGTCCCGAACTGTTATATATTCATTCGGGACGTACCATATGGGTTGGACAACTGGTTGCTCTTTACACTGTGGTATAACTTAATGATCAGATTAATAATGGATATTTAATTAAATCAGACGATAATATAAATTTGATTCTTTATTATTTTTTTATCATAAGACACCATATTATTTTGTACTAGACCACAAAAAGTATGGGAAGGTAAATATGGGTTTTAATTAATAAGTTTAGAAATTACAAGAAATAATCACGTTCAAAAGCATTCGATGGGTTAATTCCAGTTTTTTTTTAATATAGAGGAAATTTAAATTGATTAAAATTTCTAATTTAGCGGATAAATGATTATGAACATATAGATGGCGAAAAATGCGAAGAAAACTCATTCCTCTTTTCCATTTAACCTAATTCTTAGTCCTAACAATAATTGACAAACAAAAATATTTAAGAAGCTTACTTAGGTACAGCGGTAAATAATGTGTATCGCAAACATCGACAGTCATCTCTTAATAAATTTATTCTATACAATAATTTTATTGATTATTTCTCTTTACACACTGTGAATTTACATTAAAACGATAAGAACAAATTTGAATTTGGAATAAAAACAAACTGATATCTTTGGACGGAGAGACAAAGATTCTAAAAAAGTATCTATACAAAAAAAAGGAAATAGAAACATGCTTACAAAGAATTTTCTCAACTAATCACTTATAGCACTCGACCTCGAGAAAAGCCTTCTTTGATTGATAAATTCGAATAACTTAACCATTTTAAATTTGGAAACGGAATTACGTGAGATTATTTCGCCAGTCTTCGCGCGGCTGTGAGAGGGTGCAGTTGGTTGCGCACCATCGTGATTGCGCTGTCGGAGGACAGGGGGCACCACCGGGCCGCTGGCGGCGGATTATCCTGCGCGTACGCAACACTGATCCGACGCAGCCGCCGTCACTGCGGCAAGGACTCCATTCTCCCCACGCTGAGACGCGGCAATCGAGAAGTTCTGTAGAAGCATAGAATGTTAAGTTGGAGAATTTTTATGCTTAATCTACCATAATGGAAGATAAACACCATAATAGTAATAAAACAGATTTTTTTATGCAACTTAGTATGGCGAATAAGCTGACGGCCCTCCTGATGGAACGTGGCAACCAACTATGACTATATCAATTCTGTTTTAATATTAATATTCGTTTCCATATTATATTAGACACAATATCAAACAAAGCCCTTCTATTTATTTATGGGATTATTAGAGTTGGAATCCTTAGAATTAAAATTTTAATCAAGTATTTCGAAATTAATATCTATCGTAACGTAATACTGAGAAAAATTTACAAGTTTATTTATGGAGATCTTGAGATTCATACATAAATGGACAACGAGAATTTAATGAACTACATTTCGTTATTTATATTTCATCATCATTTGGTTTCACCTGCAATGCTTCTGGTATTGCTCATGGGCGCAGCATCATCAGAGGTATTGCTCTGGCGTTGTTTCGGAGTAATACCTCTGGTGTTATAAAAAAAACTGGTTACATATTTGTAAGCCTATATAAATTTAAATATATGAACCTGAGTATCAGCTTATATGAAACTAAGCATTGTATGAATTAGCTATATAAAATATATGATCAAAAAGGGTTATGTCGTATTTGTTATTTACGATTCAAAAAAATTTGTTTAGTTGCAAAATTTTCATATAATATCAGAAAATTTGGGATAATTAAATACTTAAAAGTGAATAATGAGAAGTAGCATATATGCAACGATTATGAAGGCCAATTTTGAAATGAGTACCTAATGATACAACTTATTGCTTATTATTGCATATATTTATATTAGGTCTGTCTAATATTTTACCACAGACTACGATCCTGCGACATTTGCATTCAGTGACTCATTAATTTTTTAGATCGACACTTTTAAGAGTGTACTCCATCTAGCGGTTGCTTCAACATACTAAACACATGCCGAAAACATACTGGCTCTTTTTCGCTTTCTCCTCTCTGCTGGGTCAGCGTTGTCCGCTCGCAGCTTGCGTCGCCTCCTGGCCCGGTACCGCCTCGCCAGACTCCGTAGCGCTGACCTCTCGCTAGCAGTCGGACCAGATGTTGGTAGCTCGTTTGCTGACCGAGGCTCTTCGGTTGTATTCGCTGTCGTATTGGTCCTGTACATACATGATCAAAAATGTAATTTCTTGAAAATCCCAATTGCGGATAGGGATTGTTACTAATGCAGACTACCGGTACCATTGCTAGCAATATGCCTTGTCAGGTCGAACTACACGTAGTCTCCCCTGGAAACCTGTTTTTATGTAATACCGAAATAAAATTATCGCCAGACAGAAGTTAGGTAATTTAGCAATTGAATACTTTAAGTACTGTCTGTAAGTAAGTCACGTGGGTGAAGAATATAAGAGATCAATTTTTATACAATATACATATATAACATATTTAACAGATTTCGTTTTAAAAAATAAAACTTTAATAAAACTTTGGACAAATGCTATTAGGATTTTCATAATTTTTTTTACCGTACTATTTCAATAACACTGTGTAACGAAGAAGTAAATATTTACGACTAATGAAACCACCAAAATAATGAGTAAATACTAAACATAACGTAAACACATTTTATATTCCTCTATAAAGTAACTATTTGCCAAACTAACCAGTTTACAAATCAAATTAATTCATCAATTGGTCAATTAATGGGAGACCAATCATTAAGAGATGGCGGTAGGCTCGCCCCCCACTATGTTGAAAGTGGACATATAGAATGAACATTCAGTACAGAAATATCTTTGATTATCTCATTTCGAGATACAGGGTTACTGTGATAGAAGATATGAATGTATATTTATATAATCTCTATTATATGTGTTGTAATTTTTTTCACCGCATATTAAAATATCTGTTTTGCCAAAGGTTGACTGGGAGAGAATGCTATATAGTATTAAGTCCGCCTTTTGTATCAGACATTTTTTTTTGTAATGTGGTCAATAAAGCATAAATAAAATAAATAAATAAATAAGATAGTAATTCTTAGTAATTTATTTTAAAATAAATGTATTAAAGTGGACTTTATGCTAAAAGAAAGAATGCCCTTTTAATTAACTTTGGAAAGTTACGATGGCTAACTATAGTTAAGGAAAAATACCTTCGTGTTGAGTTTTACAAATCGATTGCCTTTGATTTTAATAACTTTCAAGAGGCTTTAAGTATTAAGGAAAATAATATTGTACTTTAATCTCGATTATAATTAATTAAAATATCTGAAATATTTAATTGTTCTTTTCTTGTCATAATTTCCTTCATCATAAAATCAGTTTACAGTATTAGTGTGTATTTTCTTCTTATAATTATGTCAAGGTCTTATCTAGATATGCTGTATTAATAATAAAAGGTGCTAATACTAGCAACAAGTATACTGTAACAAATAAACTGACCATTTTGTTCATTCATGCCATAAAATGGGTAAAGGAGGGAAAATCTTCTTTTGAAAGTACTGACAATGGTCCTAGACTGAATCCAAGATACACAGTAGCTCGCTATCAAATCACTCTATAAAAATACTCAGAATTATTGAAAATTAAATTATCAACTAACTTTAAAAAGAACAAGGGTCTCAATTTTCTTAGTTACGAGGCAACAAATTTAAAAAAAATATTGGCTTTATATATTTTTTTAAGTTTCTTGCCTCATAACTCCGTCAATTGGAAAACGATTTGGAAAAATAGTTATTTATTATAATATAAATTAGTTATGAAAAAAATTAATCAAAATATCTAGTCAGTGGTTTAATTTTTAGATTAAAATAGCTGGTTTTGCCATAAAGTCAGTTTTTTGTGGAACATATTTTAATAATTAAAAAATCAGACTTTAATTCAGTTTATATGTTATGAGACGTCAAGAGAAAACGACGTGAGACTTTTATAAGTACTTACACTGTATAATAGGAGTAAGCGGCATCAGGTGTGGTCATTGACCCCTCCGAGTAGATCTTAGGTGCTTCAGCACGTTCGATTTCTTCAGCGATGGACAGAGCCCGGTTCCCGTCCAGCACGTCGATACTGTTGTGACTGAGCTTGTCCAATTGCAACACGTCGTACCTTCGATCGTCGCTCGATCGGTGAAATACTTCGGACAGTTCGTATTCTCGTAGCTACGAAGAAATTATTTCAGGTTACTTTTAAATTTTGTTTTACATTACTTTTAACAATTTTTTTTGACATTCGTTTTAACAATCTCCGATTTTAAAATGTGAGTAAAGTTGACATAAATAATTATTATACTATAATAATTAGACTTACAATAGTTAAAATTCAAAAATAAAATATGTCACAAGAAAGTACAAACATTGTACCTTAATGAACTGGAAAGTGGCAATTGGTGGTAATCTTCTTAGATGGGGATAGAAGAATGATCCAGCGGGGTGCGATGGATACTTCGATGTGATGCGGTAAGCGACCCCTTGCGGTGCAGTCGGCCAGTTCGGAGCTGTGAACGTGAAGCCATTGTCCGTACCTGCGTCCAGTGGATCTACCTGTTGTATAAAAAAATATGTATATTGTATAAAAATACAGTTTAGAAATATTAAAAAAAAAAGCGTTTAAGATGTAATCCACCATTTTGTGGCTACAGTCTCTTTAAAATGATTATTACATTTATTTTATATCATTACCTAATTTTTAAGTTCTTTCATTAGATAGCCATATAAGTAAAGTTGACAAAATATGTGTTAATTTAAAAAATGTGATCCGCCATCTTGTGGCAGCGGCCATTTTGAAAATATTACAACATTGAATGTTGCATATTATATTACCACCAGAAAAAAGGTGTATGCATAATTTCAGCTTAATTGGATATTAATAATTGGTTTTAATTCAATTTCTAAGATTTGATTAAATAAACTAACATATGAGGATCATCATCATTATATTAGCCGTTATCTGTCTACTGCTGAACATAAGCTTCCCCATAAATTAAGGGGGTTTTACCCATAATTGTCACTCTTGATTGGTGGGTTGGCAACAGCAGATAGGTTTTGATGAAGTTTTAAGAGGGACGCTGCTGCCCATTTGTCGACTTTAAAGTTCCCTTAGTCGCTTCTTACAACAACCACGAGAAAAGAAGAGATGGCGAATTCTAAACCATATGCCATGAAATTGTGTACTAGAACCTATATTTGGACATTTAAGAAAAAATAATATGATAGGTTTTAACTGACTTCTAGCATGGCGCCGTCGATCTGTGGAAGTACAGATAGTAACAGTCAAGTTTCTCAAGGAAATGCTATTCTATTGCCTGCTTGGGTTTATTTTTTTATACAACTTAGAATGGCAAACAAGCTGACGGTCCACCTGATGCAAAGTGGTAACCGTCGCCTATAGACATGAGCAGTACCATGGACATAACAGAGTATACTGTTTCGCCCATGATACCCCCCATGCGTTGCCATTACTGAGGACTCAGGTGTTATTTTACTGATGTAGGAAATTGTTAATAATAATCAAAATAGATTTTTTTACTATTTTTATCATTCTATCTGTTTGATACTACATTACACAAAAACTACTCAACTAAATTGAATGAGGTCGCTACTTACAGCCTACTTCCAAAAACCTTCCGTACAAAGTCACGGAAAAGTCTGTAGTTAAATATATAATTCTATATACGTACCTCGATAGTAATGCTATCAAGCCAATTTCCGTCCACGCAGAGATCAAAGCTGTCCACCCCTATAAACCAGTCCGGAGATGGTATCATTCTGGCTATCACGGATACCTGTAATGAAATAGCTCTGATAAATTGACCGTTGCATCAAAGTGAAATTTTAATGGATTTTTATTCTACTTATCTGTTACAGATTGTTTAGAACGATACGACAGTTTTGTAATTCTACATTCTATAAAATTTTATGAATATATATTTTTTTTTTATAATATAATACAAGGGCAAACCACCATGCTGCTAATTTGAGTCTACCGTCGCCCATGAGTACACATGACACTGTAAGAATTTCAGGCGCGTTGCTGGCCTTTTAAAAATTAATATCATCATCATCATCATCATATCAGCCATTATCTGTCCACTGCTGAACATAGGCATCCCCCACTTTATGGGATTTTGCCCGTCGTTCCCACGCTTCGCAGATGAGTTGGCAACCGCAGTTAGGTTTTGGTGATATTTTAAGAGGGACGATGCTGCACATTCCTCAATCATTAGCTCCCTTAGTCACTTCTTACAGCACCCATGGGAAAAGTAGGGGGGGAGGTATTTTTTGCCGGAACCTACATGGCATGAATGTACTAGTAACTAACCATTCTTAATTTATAGAATTACACCATTTTATTATTACCAAGACTTGTATAATACGAAATTATATAATCTTAATTCTATTATCATTTCAATGTTTGAAATAACGTTAATTTTAAAGATTTAATTATATACTTTGTGGTTTCATAAGGAGAAACTCGTCTGAAAGAATTAACGACCAGTTTAATTAGGCTGATCAAAAGCTTTCCGTGAGTATAATGACAGATAATTATTTTATATCTGATTCCCGGTTTGTTTGTAATAATTATTATATTAATTAATCTGTGGATAATCTTTCTTTGACGTGGGACTCGCATTTATTATATCACAAGTAAAGTACCTATTCACTATAACTTAGCTTCGTTAATTATTATGAAAAAAAGTTTTAAGTACCAATAAAATTGGTATGAATGAACTAATATTTAAAAGTATTTTCTTATAAAATATCATATTAGTAGTCGATATTTCGAATGTAAAATGAATTTTTAACTTGAATTGTATTTTTCATTAAATTTACATAATAATATACAAAATGTGTAGTTTATATATATAATAGTGCGCCACCTATCCTTTGTCTTTTTTCTTTTCTCAATGTTCTCTACCCAAAGGTTTTCTGGAAGAGATTGCTTAGCGATAAGGCCGCTATTTGTATTATTTTTAATTGAAATTAACTGTATTTACTATTTTATAAATAATAGTGCAATAAAGTGTAAAATAAATAAATAAATCTAGCGACCTCTTTGGACACAACATTTTTTTAATATTTTTTTTAATTGTTTTTTTTTCTGTCGTACTATATTTTTCGTTATTGTCATAAATCATTATTTAATTATGTGCTCTCCAAATTAGATAAAAAAGTCTTGAGAAACCTATTCGTCATAGTTTTCGATTCCTTCTCTCTTTATCAATTTTTGCTACAGAGAATCCGTACATCCAACTCCATTATTCTTCTTTTATCAACCGATTTAAAAAAGAAGAAGGTTCTCAATTCGGTTGTATTTTTTATATTTGAATGAATGAATGAATGAGTATATTTTATTTGCATTATACAATATAGGAAATGAGCAAGACAATTTACAAACACAACGATACAATTGTATAAGTACAGTAAGGCGGTCTTATTGCTGAGAGCAATCTTTTCAAGACAACCTTAAGGTAATGGACTAATTGTAATTTAATTGTAATTTATCTCAAAACTCCATCAGTTCTAAACCAATTTGGAAAATTACTTTTTTAAATAATAATAATAATATATTTATTGAAAACTGATAGGTTATACTTACAGTATATTAAATAGTTTACTTTTTAGATCAAAATAATTGGTTTTTGTGACAATTGTAGTCGGTTTTTGTGGGCCACAGTCTTTAATTATTCGATAGCAGTTTTATACGAAATATCATTTGGAAAACGTTGCTGTGAATCCTCCATAATGAATGTCCAGCGGTCAATACTTCATTTATAATTCAAATGTGTGAGTTCTGTTTTGGTCTACGTTTTGGGGTTACCGTGTTTCTGTGCCGATCTATTTCTGAAACGTGTTTGTGAGTAACATTCTAACATTGCTATGCTTGTGAATCATTTGACTGACAAAAATACATTTCTCTAGGTACTTTAGTCATAATATTGTTTTAAGAGAATAATCATTGAACACTAGTTTTTACTTGCAAGTTTGTTTGCGTCATCAGTATATATTGTTGTATCAGCCATCCGCTGCTAAACATAGCATCCCCTAAGGGGAGGGATGTGCAGCAGCGTCCCTCTTAAAATATCACCAATCCTAATTGTGATTGCCAGGGGGGAAGGGATTGTTCATAATGGGATCTAACAGCCCCATTACTAACAATATTCCCTATCAGGTCGATCTCCACGTTCCTCCTGGAAACCATCGTGATTAATTCTTGTGAAATTCGTCACGATGGGCTAACCGACCTGCTTTTATCCTCACTTCTCATCTATCACTGGTGTCCCGCCAGCGTATCCCGATAGCGCAGGCGGGATAACCATTCCATTATATCATCCATAAAAAAAATTGTGATTGCCAACCCGCCTGCCAAGTGTGGCAAATACTGGCAAAATCCCGCCAAAATGAGGGAGGCCTATGTTCAGCAGTGGATAGTTAAAGGCTGATATGTTGATGATCATTACAAAGTTGAAAGTGTGTGTGTTATCTCATGGTAATCGTCATGGAATTTGGTATATACTCATACATACTACTTAGAATTGTTAAGGACCTAGGCTACTATTTATCCTGTTCAATAAACATATCCCAGTCACGCGGATGAGTCGTAGGTTAAAGTTAGTATACAATAGCTAAATACTAAAAAGGCATTGTCTGAATGTCCCACGGGTATGGTAGATAAACTTCGAGTCAATAAAGCCGCAAACAACGGCTATAAAGATATAACTTTTACTCCGTTACCTGTCTAATTTATCGTTATATTATCTTTAGTAGTTTTAACACAGAAAGGATGATAAGTTTTGCCAATTGATAACAAATTGTCACTTTTACAAATTAGAAATCAATGCTATTTATATTTACGATACCTATCATCATCATCATCATATCAGCCATTATGTGTTCACTGCTAAACATAGACCCTACTCCTAGACAGTAGGATATGGCGTGAATTTACAGGGTACAGAGGAATAACATCTGAGTCCTCAGGAATGGCAACGTATGGGAGGTATCATGGGCGAAACAGTATACTCTGTTATGTCTATGGTACTGCTCATGTCTATAGGCGACGGTTACCACTTTCCATCAGGTGGGCCGTCACCTTGTATGCCATTCTAAGTTGTATATATCCTAGACAGTACCCATACAAATGTAAAATTATCTTGTAAATTGAAAAGAGTAACTGTTGAGTTTTACGTACACGTACAGATCGCCATCGACAGGGAGTTAATTCTCATACCCTACAGCCTAAATGGTCGTGTACAGCGCGGTTTCAGAGATATTTTCTCCCACGAACACTTAGGTTATGGAATGAGCTCCCTGCCGAAGTTTTCCTGAGAGACTACAGCATGGAGTTCTTCAAAATGGGGGTACAGAGGTTTCTTCATGGCCGGCAACGCGTAATACCTCTGGTATTGCAGGCGATCATAGGCTACGGTAACCACTTACCATCAGGTGGGATATATGCTTGTTTGCCTCCTCAGTGGTATAAAAAAAATATATTTAGTTACATATTTAATACAAAGTAATTTTCGATGTGATAAATTGCTTTATTATTCAGGACTCACAATAGTTTTGCTGCTATTTTATGATTACTTGTTAATTTAAAATTTACAATCGCCTTCAAAAAACGTGAAAAAACGTCATTCGCAATTTCGATATTGCAGAATGGCTTTCACAGAATATTGAACCAGTGGCAATTTAATTTCCTCAGCATATGCCGAGCGACGCGGCGGCCATGTTTACACAAAAAAAAGATTAATTAAATTAATTAATTGAAATCTGTCTATATATAATTAATTTGTATTCTAAAAGAATATAAGAAACAATTTTTATTCCAATAGACTTGTTTAATAACTCTTTTAAATCGTAATTTTATTGTAATTCTTCTGCTGAATTCGAAATGTGTTCATCTGTTGAGAAGAGTCCGTGAATCTATACAATGAATTGAAAAAAATACACACAATTAAATACTACAGGAATGTTTGGTCTGATTGGTTTAAAGCCGTAGATTTTATTTATCATAAAATACCAAATATATTGGGATAAAAATAGCACCACATTATTGAGGGCTTATTCCCTTATATCATGTTTTACACGACATATAAAAAATTCAACTGAGAAAAATCCACAAAACAGTCAAAATTAGGCTTAATAGACGATAAAATACAAAGACAGCGTACCTGTAGTGCGGCAAACTTCCCCCTTTATTACCGCCCGGTTTGAATCGACAGTTTTTACCCCGGTACAAACGTACGGTAATTGTTGTTTACCCTCAGGGGCATTAATTATCAACGAAATACGATATTTTCGGATATTGTAAACGATACAATTTCATAGCTTTGTACAGCGCGCGGGATTTAATTGTAAAATTACCGTGGCTTTGTCGGTATGATTTTCAATTAGGGCGCGTGTACTCGTATTTGTAATTTGTAACAGTTGTGTCATAACATATTCCATTTACATACAGAGTTTGTAGTTTATAATTAGTGTAAATTAACATTATCATTCTGTTTTTAATGGACTTCTAAATGGAAGTGTTTCTCATCATATCAGCTTCCAAATGTCGACTGCTGAATAAAGGATAAATAGATGATTTATTTGCATTACTTACAGCACACAAATACGAGTAACAACAGGCATACACAGTAAAAAGGAATGAAAGAATGCATATACAAAAAAAAAAAGCAAAACATAAGCTTGCCTATCAAGGGGGTTTGCCAGTAGTTGCCACGCTTGGCAGGTGGATTGACAACCGCAGCTAAGATTCCCCCTGGAAATCTTCGTGCTGAATTCCAGATGTATTCGTCACGATGGGTTAACTGCCTTTTCATTTACACCTATCATCCCTTACTGGTGGGGCACCAGTGTATACCGTTAGCGCAATCGGAGAAAATATTCCATTAACATTTATTACAAAACTGTAGTTAAACTTTCAAAATGTTTTAAGAGGGACGCTGCTGCTCATGCCTCGCTCACTCTTAGTCGTACCCACGAAAAAGGAAAGGGTGACCTATTCTATGCTAGGACCGTACGGCCAATGTTTCTCAATTTATTTTTAATTTTTTAGCTTATGTTAATTATGTTCTCAATTGACCAAATCGAATTAAGAACAACTATCTTTTATTTAAAAAAAAAGGTGAGGAAACTAATTATATTTGTATTGAAGTTGAAATATTTCTATAATAAATTATCCTGTTGATAATATAAATGTGAGTTTATAAGTACAGATGGATGAATGAATAGACAAATGTTTGTTACTTTTTGATGCAAATATTACTAAACTGATTCGAAAAAAAAATGATATACGGGTAAGTTATATTCTAATTTTGCATGTAACATACTATATGTACTTTCTTATTAACATGGGCAAAGTTACGGGACAAAACTAGTAATTAATAAATAAATGTATCGACTTGTTATCAGTATACTGCATAGAAAAGGAACTCAAACTGCTTTTTATTCCACACTATACATATTGTGTATTGAAATGACAAAAAAGTTCACAGTTCATGCAATAGAAAATGTCAACATCGCCTATAGACATGAATACTGCCTACTTGGATATCATAGTATAAACTGCGATGCCCATGGGGTACCGTGGTATATCCAAAGACATAGTAGGTATCCTGTGCCATTTCTAAGAACTAAAATGTAATAATTCCGAACTTTGTTATTTATATAGAACCGAAATATTCACTCACTCTGGAATGGTTTCCATCGACAAAGAACTCGGCCTCAGTTCGCCCTGCGCCCTGTGTTATCGCAGGGGCTCCGAATACGTCCATCGTACCCGGGGCCGAACCTAGGGCGTCTGACCGACCGGATTCGGTGAACTGACGAACAGGGAGTGATACCCGTCGCCCCAGGCGGAAGAGGACGTACGATCTGTCGTGTGATACTCCTGCGAACAAAAATAATTATTAAATTAAATTGTGTTCCAACAAAAAAAAAACGATTTCAATTGTGGCAAAACAAGTAATTTTAATTTAAAAACTTAACTACTGAATCCATTTTCACAATATATTTAAGGGATCAATCTGCAAACATTTTCTTTCAGATAAAAATAATGTTCCAAATTAATTTACAGCTGACGGAATTATGAGGTAACAAACATTAAAAAAGACACAACAGAATTGACAACCTCCTTCTTTTTGAAGTCATTTGTTAATATTATTAATAATATATAAGAATTACAACGTTAGTTTATACTAATTTCTGAAAACAATCAACTGATTTTAATGACATTTTAGAATGTGTATTTTATTACAATAATTCGATGTAACAGAATAATATAACTTGTAATTTTAAGTTTAGAAATACCTATGTAAGTGACAAATAAATTTTATATTAATTTAATTATATTTGAAAAAGACATCACTATATTTAATTTATATTACACTATTACGTTTTATGATTATAATTAATTTATTCGCATTCTCATTGCAATAAACAATCAACATTATTACCAAGAATTCGAAGGACATTGAGTTCTTGGTAATAAAATAATTACTGTATAATTTTGAGCAAATTAATATTTTATTTTTAGGGAAGTAAGTCGTAAATAGAATTAATGAAATCGTTGCATAATTGTGGAAAATTTTGGGCTCATTTCTAAAGAGCTCTATTTCTAAAACTAAAGATTTAATTTGATTTTTCATTGAAAATATAATTTAAAGGACGTGTATAAGTTAAATTTATAATAGAATTGAGTCAAAACTATTTTACATTTATTTCTAGGAAGTCTGTAAATTTTGTATTGGAATAGTTTTGGATAAATTATGAATTTAAATTTTTTAGGCATATTTAGAATATGACGCCTCATTTTATAATATTTATAATTGTATTGTATCTCTATTTAACAACAATAATAAACGTGCTTATAAAGTTACAATTTTTTTTATGCAACTTAGAATAGCAAACAAGCTGACGGCCCACCTGATGGAAAGTGGTAACCGTCGCCAATAGACATGAGCAGTACCATGGAAATAACAGAGTACACTGTTTCACCCACGATACCCCGCATACATTGCCATTCCTGAGAACTCAAGTGTTATTCCTCTGTACTCTGTCAATTCACTACCATATTAAATGTAAAATAAAAGTAAATTCACACCCACCCTTCAAATCAAAATACAGCCATGTAAACACAACTGCTTCATGGTAGAAATAAGAATGGGACAGAGGTGCCCAAGCAAACGACTTTTGTGCAAAGTATCACCCTGATAAACTAATAGGAGATAAAATGTCTTCGATATCTATTTATTTAACAGTGACTGAATCATTCACAAACGGTAATATTTAAAAGTGATTCTTAGGCGCCGTGCGCCCTACGTTCTGGCGTTTGTCCAAAGTTGAACGTTAAAATAGACACTTATCGACACGGATGGTAACAAGCCCCATTCACAATAACATTACATAATGTTAACAGTTACGAGAAGTAGGGACCTAAAATGGGCACTTTCGTAATTTGTAATAGGACTCTAAAGCGATTATATTTTTAAGTGATTTCCAGAAGAGATAAGTTCTATATTATTTGTGTGTGTGTTACTTGATATCATCGCCAATTTTGAACCGGTTTTATTAATTCTTTTTATTACTGATGGAATTTACTTTCATACTGAGAGATCAAAATATGAGATTATTTCGTCATGTCATAAATTTTAGTGCAAAAAATCTATCTTTTTCTTAATATTTTGGTTTAAGTTTACAAGTAATATATTATTATATGTGCGTGTGTTTGTGTGTGCATGTACATGTGCGTATATATGTACGTGTGCATATTATATGTGCGTGTAAGTGTGCGTGTGTGGTCTCTCTCTTCCACTCTCGTTTTTTTCTCTCTCTTTCTCACTCTCTCTTTGCGTGTATGTACATGTGTGCTTGCGTGCATGTGTGAGGAGATAATGAGAGAGTTGTGATATTGCGTAACGCAATTCTCATTATCTCTCTTAATATTAATTTTTTTTTAATATTTTTATACGTTATTTTATATCTGTAGCTTGGACTTAAAATTCAAGTCCAATTTACATTCCATTTCACATTTAATTACGAATTTGCTAACGGTTATTTGGAATTTACTCAAACAGTCGTTAATACAATTAATACGAAAGATAAATTAGCAACGATCTCGTTGCTGAAAATCTCATAAAATCTAATGAAAGCTTTGAAGTTTCCGCCAAAACCTCTTTGATTACAGTGAACAATTTTCCTGGTTCCCTTTTTGGGGGTAAATTATTATTTTATTAAATAACTACGGTCGAAATACTGGGCCATCTTTGAAGCATACGAAATGAGGTAATTATAACGCGTCTAAACGTTCTCGTTCCATGGTTATAGTATTTTGCAGCATTTAGACAGATCTTTTACTGAGTTTCAAGGAAAAAGCTACGATTTCTTGAAATAAAAGACACAGAAAGTATAGAGTATATAAGGTTACAGAGAGAGAGAGTATAAGACATTTTTACTTATTTTTTTTATACCACAAGGTGGCATACATCAACATGCATACAGCCCATCTGATGGTAAACTGCTACTGTAGCCTATGGACGCCAGCAACACTAGGGGTATCACGTGCACGTTGGCGACCCTGAAGAAACCTTAATATACCTTTTTTGAAGAACCCCATACTGTAGTCTTTAGGGAAAACCTCGGCAGGAAGTTCATTCCACAGCCTTAGCTTTCGTGTTCTTTCGTTTTTAAGTTATTCTTAAGTTAGATTATAACTTTTAGTACAGCAAATTTTATCCAAATCCAAATATATTATCACATTTATAATCCTATAGTACCAATAAATAGTACGATTAATCCTTACTAATATTATAAATGTGAAAGTGTCTGTTTGTTGATTATTACGTCTTCGCGCCTTAACGGCCATATTTTTCGTAACTTCGGAGCCGAATGAAACACAATTTGGATGTTAACATTACCTAATACATATTGTTTAAAAATATTAAATAAATAAAAATAAATAAAATGTTAAAATATCCTTCCTTTGGACTTTTATGGTGGGATTTATGACGAATGAATTGTTAAACTCTATTTACTGGGCCGATTTCGGTATGAACGAAAACACGAAATTGAATCCGGAAATTCGAAATTTCATGGTAGACCTCCTGATCATAAAACTGCCTGTTGGCATACAAATCAAAAATATTTTGATTGATTAAATGTTTCAATTTGTTACTAATATAATTTAGGGGTTTTTTCTTTCATTAAATTTTATTAATTCAGGTAAATTTGTGCAGTCTCTCGCAGGTAAAATATTATTTAACTGTATATTTGTTTATGTATTCTAAATATTAATAGTTGTACAACTTCTGCTGCTTGCTAACGATATACTTTCTAACTATATTGGGTTGACTGAAGAAAGATAGAAGAGAAGAGAAATCTATCAGAGATAAATCCTTGCTCACAATATTTATAAATGCATTAACAATGCAATTTACAAGTGCAATAAAGAATATTATATATATTTTAAATAAAATATTACATGAATTCAGCAACATACAAATTTATATTTCACCTGTATGGCAGCGTTAATGGCCGTCTCTTGTAAACTAAATATGCATAGATTATACAGAAAGCCAACAAAACAGCGAACAGAAGCTTCAGAATAACAAGGGATCGTGCATTAAATATCAGTACAGACGAAACCAAAATGACAAATAACCCGACTGGCGAGGGAAGGTACGCGTTGCCGTAGTTATTTATTACTAGTTCGCGACAAACAAGATTTGCCAGCTACGCTAGAGTAAACATCAATAGACAGATGGCGGTAGGGTTGCCAGACGACAGAAATTTCTCTGATACGAATGGAGTTTTGACCTTTTACAAGGATAAGGGAGAAAAAGTGTAATTAATTTTTATTTATATAGACAGTCTTGATATATTATATCATATTTATACACGTATAACGAAAAAATCAATGCTTGACGTTAGTAGACGCACTGATTTGGCTTTTTTTTAATTTTATTCGTAATTCATTTTATTAACGTCGTTAGGAAAAAAATCTCAGCACAGTCAAGTCAGTTTAATAATAAAAAGATATGAAATATATTAATATTTATTTTTGAATAATAAACATTTGATTGTTTGTTTGTTTGTAACACTTTATTGTACAGTAAAGTCCTAAATTATAGGATACAGAGTTCTTAAGAAAATAATGAGTACAATGGCGGACTTATACCATAAAAGGGACTTTTATTTACATATACTGGAAAAAAGTTTAACACTTAAAAATAAGTAAATATGATTAAGACTATACATGCGTACTTATTTTTGTAAAAAGCTAATATCTGTAGGTACTAGAACAATCGAATACTGTAATAGAAATATAATTTTGTAATTATTTTAATAAATTCGTGTAAACTATGGTGTCTTGTGATTTGCACAACAAAGTAAATAATACCAAATCTTTATAATTTTATATAAATGAATTATTTTTTTGTAAACTATAATATTCTTGAGGCTGAAGATTTATAGTTTTTGAAAATCTCACTATGTCCACACGTCTTGGAAACTGTTTAAACTAAATATCAGATTTTACTGTTAAAAGTTTCGTAAGTATGCATTCTAATTTAATATAACAACTATAGATTTAACATACGCACTCGTCATAGCCGCTTACGATTAAGGGTCCCGAATGGTCCGGAGACTAGTCGAGATTTTTTCAACCTAATTACATGTAAGTTAAACCTGTAGTTGTTACATTAAAATAAAATATCAAATTCTTTGAAAACTCCAAGATACTGTCAGGAAATGTCACTATTAGATGTGGTAACCCTAGATCCTAGTAATAACTTATTTTGCGAGTTTGCTACGTCGTTGGAGTAGAAAGTTAAATGTTTAAGAGGAAAAAACGTAGCGTAGTAGATGCGGGTTCAAACACTGCCCGCTTCGAAA